TATTTTCTACTTAGGAATTTAATTTATTTATTTTTCGTCTAATATGTACAGAATAAATACCATGTAAATAAATGCTGATACGTGAGAATTTTAACAGGTTTTATGTTTTTAGCAACTTGTACGTGACCTATATTTGTCTTCCATATTTGGCCATGACCTGGTCTATTATCCTGCTTAGCTATCTTTTGTAACCTAGATAACTTTCAATGAACTTAGCACACAATACACCAATTTTTCCAAAAAATGTGATCAAGAAATATTTTCAGGGGTTAATACAAGTGTGACCTCTATCCTGAGATGGAGCCACAGGTCCACTTTCCAAGTTGATATACATGTACATGTTTTTACAATGTATGGTTTTTGTACAATGAACTATGTATGTACTGGTCAATTTTTTTACCTGTACATACCTATTGATGTATCTTGGACAAATAGATATTTCAATTATTTGCTATTCTTATCTTCAGTCTACCAATATTACTAGTATTTTCTTCGGTGTTTTGAATACCAAATATGTAGAATTATAATACACAATTAGCAGTAAATTACATAAGTACAATATCTTTTGATGTTATTTATATATAAAAGTATCCAATTTAGTTGATCACAAGTCGTGCATACAGAATACAATAGCATGTGACACATTTCTCTCTCTCTCTCTGTTATAACAGTTATAATCTACGGGTACGTCTAATTAAGCATATCTGAATACTGTACAATGAAGAATGGACTGGCTGGTACATGGAACAGATAACGGAATTATCATTGTTTTATGTAAACATAATGATGGCAGCTTGACAACATTTGAGTAAATTTAGATCTGTTAATGTACTTTACCAGATGTGTTCATTAAAAGATTACCACATGGATGTTTGTAGGTAGAGTAGTGACAGTATTGACATTACATGTACAATCAATTTTGTGTTAACGGTACACGAGTTTGAATCAAACATCATGTGGGGCATAATTGAAACTAAAACTAGTAAAAATACCAACATCCGCATATTTGTTAATAAAAATTCTTTTATATTACCTTATGACTAATCTAAACAACCCAACAAGGTAGTCTTATTGAACTTTTTATTTTGATATATATAGCAACTCTGTGGGAAAAATATCCCTCATGGCACACTGCATGGCAGAGACTGTCTTCACTAGCCCAATCTGTGCAGAAAACCACATTTTATTTCAATGCATTTCATTTTTATTATTTATTATTTTAATATTCTGACTTGTTTTAAACTCGATATTTAAATTTAATATTCTGGCTTGTTTTAAACTCAATTTAGTTAACTGTATTATTCTGAATTGTTTTAAACTCGATATTTAACTGTATTATTCTGACTTGTTTAACTCGATATTTAACTTTAATATTTGTTTTCCCTACTGTGTGATTTGTATTTTTCAGAGATATCAATTTCTCACATCTTAATTTGTCAATTTTCTGTAAATACTGAATCAAATTGAACCATTTTTTGACTGATATCCCTATTAGAGATTCATCTTTCACAATATTGTATTTTGCGTGTGATTTTTTTGTGCTAAGATGATCCATACAAGTACTTGTACATGTGTATAGTCTTTTAGTTTATTAACCCTTTAACTGTCAGACAACGTTTCGGGAGGCCATTTTGCAGGTCATGACCTATAAGTAAAAATGACAAAAAATGTTAAATATTTCATACCACTGAATAGAAGAATTCAAGATCTTTACAAAAATATATACATTTATATGATTTATTCTTAAATTTAAAGAGTTACAGGATATACATGTATTCTTAACTATATGCTTTTTTCTATTCAAAACCCCAAAACAATGACAGTTAAAGGGTTAATAGATGAAATTTATTACCATGATGTAGAGTATAAATATCATCTTACATCAACCAGAAATGTAAATGACACTGTACAATATCTGTTTCACTTTAATTATGTAGTAATATTAACATTTTTAGTACATGTATATTCTGAAAATAATTCTATACACACTGTACGTGTACATTAAAAGTAAAAATAGATTATACAATAGATACATGTAGTAAAACATGGGTGAATTTCTGTGTTTAGATTTGATAGGAGGCCTCTGTGACTATTCTATTTCTAACTAAATCGGCATGCAGTGATCATATCTGTGGACTAAGGACAGAAGTGGCCTATGAAATTTCAGACAACAGTGCCTTAGTGCACATGGCTACACCAACCACAGATAAATCTTTGCTACTTGTATCAATGTATCAGACATTTAAATTCTGTGTCTTTGGGAGAGACAATGATTTTGTGAGAATGACAAGCTGCACAATTGTCAGTACAGTGCAAAAGGACCTCACTACAGCCCCCCAAAAAACTAACAAATTAGATGTCAATGAGATACTCAAATTACAGTGCAGGCAATGTATACATGTACACCAAATCAAGTGAATGGATCGGGGGGGGGGGGGGGGGGGGGCGATAAGCAACCACAGTGCTGTACAGTCTCTGGCCTGTAAGTTGCTTGCCATTCTTGAAAGTAATGTCAGTACATTCATGTATAGATACCAGTGTATATTTAACTTGTCTTATCAACATCTAGTCTACGTAGACATATTTGTCCTATTTATCAGGCTTTTCGTGAGAAATAGTGCAACAGACCTTCTACGTACATGTATTACATAAGTACATAGGGTTGTATGAAAATAGAGTACATGTATGTACATTTTTTATTCAATGAATAATGTGATGAATTTAACAAACTGTACATGGAATAGAAATATTCCCCATTATATAAAATAAGACGCATTATTTATAAATTAACACAAGAGACTAAAACTTAAATCATTTTGATGGACAGAATGGAATTTGATTTATTTGGTGTGTGTGTGTGTGAGAGCGAAATGTTGTCATGTAGCTTGTTCATGTAGGTAGATCTAGTTTATCAACTAGAAATAGTTGAACAAGAATGTTTTGTTTCTTGGTCATTCTAAGCAATTTGAATGCACAGAGGAGCTTTTAGTTGTATTTAATTGACTGTATTTCAATGATGAAAGACTAAAATTCGTAAAACATCGAAAATGAGATGGTTTATCTAATTAATTAGACAGCATAGAAGATCTTTTAGTTGTTTTTAATTTCACTGTATTTAAATGTTGAAGGACTCTAAAATCGTAAAACATCAAAAATGAGATAACTTTATCGATCGAAATGATGGGAAGACATAACAAGGATTTTTTAGTAGTACATGTATTTAGTGGTGTTTACTTGACGAAAGACATTAAAAATCGTAGAACATCTAAAATGAGATGACTAAGAAAGAAGAAGACTATCCCCATGTATTGGATATTGTCTGTTAGAGCTTTAATATGAAGCAAGGATAGTCGCAGCCACAAATAGAAGGTCATGTTGATTATACATATTACAGGGCCTACAGTGAGATATGTGGGCCAGCAAGTATTCAAGTGCAACAATAGGCAGAGGCCAGGCTTCACACAATCTCTAATAAAAGCATGTTTGTTAAAGAATTTGATACTCTTTTGATAAATGTAGGACTTGGTCTCGACTTGCGTTGTTTTATTTTACAGAATTTATCCACCTTGAATCCCTGTGAAGCCGTCTTCTGTTCCCATAAATATGCCTAGTTTGTATAGAGGACTTGGCCAATTGTCTTCATTGCACGTTTTTAATCAATGTGAATTTTTCTTCATTAAACACAGCGCAACAAATCCAAGACGACGCTTAGTTGATTTAGACTGATTATTAATGCTTTACTCTCTGTCGATTTTGTTGCTTAAGGCCCACGTTGCCATGGTTAACACAATAAAGATGAAATAAGTGTCGTTAGAACTACACCGAATGTAAAGTGGCCATTATTGACCGGTCGGACACATAACATGTCTTGCTGACATTAACATGACGTGTAATGCTTCATGTATTCCTCTAATACAGTATGGCGGGAGAGAGGGTCTATAGGTTTCTGCATATTCTCCAATCCAGTTTCTGTGAATAAATACAGTACCACTACCAATATGTCGTTATTTAAAGAAAAGTTCATCTGTGTCTTTTTAATTTTTATATAGATAAAACATCATGTAGAATATTTGAAAGTTTAAATATACTTCCTTGGAATATTCACAGGAAAGTACATATTTAAAATTCCCTTTCTTAAGAAAATATCTTTGTAATTTTCTTTCCTCAAGTGCCATCAACTTTACCTGTTTACACTGTTGTTTGATAAATTCTACAATATGTGTATAGATGTAGGACTGTTTTTTTAATGTGCATTTTTGAACAAAATGTAGTTTTTCATGAAATATACTCAGATTGGTTATTTAACATGGTTATTTAACATGACAACAGAAACACACTGTCAACGGAGGTCGAAAAGTAATCTTCTGGCTTGGTTTTAAAAGGTACCAGTCAATAGATTTGACCCAATTCATTTAGGGTGCTGACTTGTTTCAATCTGTTTCACAGAGTATTACGAAAGTCATCTAATATCTCTGTAAAAGACGACTGCCTTCAACACATGACGTCATATCACGTGGCGTCAAACATTAACTCAATGGCGCGTGCATTGTTTACATAAGATGTTACTGATTCGAGCAGAATGGCGCCTTTTACTCAATTTGATACCCATTTATACTAAAATAGGAAGTAATTTTAACCTACAAATACTTCACTCGTCTTTATTTATTTTTCTAATACATAAAAGAAATGTTTTAGAATTTAATTTGTCGAAGGAAAAAAGTTAATATTTGTGGCTCATTAAGTTGCATCGATGTCATCCTTATCACTGATTGTTGCGGCCTAGCAAATATTCACTGCGAATCAGTGTGGGCTTGTTTATGTAAGCTGAATAATTTAAATACTGAATGAATGGAATTGAATTCCATACATTTTTAGAGTCCCAACTTTCAAAGTATTGTAGTTTGCAAAGAATTCAAAACCCAGGCAAGTGAAATACATTTTGAGATTGTCTTAAACTTGAAATAAAATAAAATTTAATTTCAATATTTTGTATTTTTCAGGTTTTCATTTGAGCGGTACAGTAACTGAGGCGGCCAATCCGTTATTTTCCGAGCCTGAGAAGCCTATAAAGGTGTCTATAAGTTTTGATAGGTAAGTTTACCAGCTTTTCACATGATTCGGATGTTTGTGGTGCTAGAGGAAGCAGTAGTTGGAGTGTCTGAGGGATTTCAGTCGGTCCAGTTACTAATGTTTAGAATATATTCTACATGTATGCAGGCCTGGGAATGATGGTTTCAGTTGTACATGTACCTGGCATTTTGAACTTTGACATGTATTGATAATAACAATAAAAACCCAGAAAAAGGACAGGTACCATAGGGATTGTTCCTGACCAGGCGCGGATCCACGCCCCCCCCCCCCCCCTATTTTTTGCGGTGGCGAACAATTTGCAGGAAAAGAGAACAAAAATACTTAAAAATGGTAGTGATCCCTGTCATATGTCATAATTTACTCCGAAACGAGCCGGTTGGTGACTTAGTTGATTGCCTGTCAGTCCGCCTACCGAGCGCCGGGCTTCGCACTCCCAAGCGGGGGGCTTCAGGCCCCCCCCTTTCTGAATATCCTGGAATCGCCCCTGCTGACACAGACTGAATGTGTGTGACAATGTCTAGGACTGATGTCTTCATTCCCAAATTACATACATGTATCATTTGTTTTTAATATCCTTTGTCCAAAAATGTAATTGAAAGCCAAGATCAAAAGCCTTTGCTAATACTAATACAGAATTGAGTTGTAATATTAAAGGAAATTGACACCATAGGTTTATATGGCCAATAAATATCACCCATTGTTTCATTAAATACATGTCCTATATATTTTTTAATACAACCACTGACCTAGATATAATTTAATAATTAAACCACTAACCAACTTCGTGTATATATACATGTACAGGCTTCCTCATATGAACTTATATTACTAAATGTATCAAGGCGAAAATTATATCGACTTGAACAGGAAACTGATATAACATGTGTTACAGATTGACTGGATGGAGAGAACTAGGTCATGAACTAATTAGATCATGTGACTTCTTTGTGTACTCTCTGAGGTCTTTGGCATCACAGAAAAAAACCTCGCCCAGTCTTATCTTTTATCAATTCAGAGTAAAGGAAATAATATTTCTATAGGCTTGTCAGTAATCCTTTGTTCGTTTAGTTTGAACATGGCTTACATTTTATTGATGATTTTGCTTCTTCATCAAGGAAAAATACAATGTAGATTATGTCAATGCTTATTTTAATATTTTAAAGCAAATTGTTAAGAACTGCATGGATTGTGAAACGAAATGGGGTTCAACCTAAACGTCCTACTATTCTGCATGCATGGATTGTAGTATAAAAATATGTTCAAATAAATGTCTTGTGTGCATTGTTGCTCAAATATATTTTATAGTACAGTAGACTTCGCATAAGTCGGATTTTCACACAACTCGGATAAAATCGTTTGGACCCTTTGATCCAGCACGTTCGGTCCATTTGATCTAATTCCGGCTTTTTTCCATCGCCTAAGTCAGTTTTGTCCCGATGTTCTAAAACGCGGTTAGGTATTCCATGCACAGAGCCCCAAAATACTTTCCCCTATCATTTTGACTCAAGTCGGCCTATTTGACGCGACGCAACGCAATAATAGACTTTTCCCGGAAAATTCGAATCTCGCTGTCTGCTGTACGAGACACTTTCTGTGAAAATTTAGGACATTTATTATCCTGCTCTTGCAGTTTATTTCTAATCGAGCTAAGATTGAATTTCGGTCTTCGGCTAACTTGGATCTTTGCTTAACTTCGATGAAATTGGTCAGTCCACTTAGATCCGACTTATGCAAAGTTTACTGTACATAACCACTTTTATTTCAAGAAAAACAATAAGAAAACTAAAATTTGTTCTCATGTAAACTGCGTAAGCATAAAAATTATTGTGCAAAACTTCTAATTGCCACAACTGTCATTATAACCACATGTAGATGTCAGATGTAATGTGTGCAAAGTATTGTAGCGATATCATGAATGGTTTATGATGGAATATGCTACGACACATGATGAAATTCAGTTTAAACTTAAATAAAATAAGGCAGACTGTGTCACCTTGTACTAAAGCAATAAATTAGACATAGGCTAAAATGTATAAAAATATTAAAGCCTTTAAAGGAAAATATTTACTTTTAAAGTGCACATTAAAATTGAAAGGAACAAGTTTTCTTTAAGTCAGTTTTATAAAGGTAGACAGTGTTTATTTACTTAATATATAAAAGGTAGGGTTATGTTTAAACTTGTTACATTGTTATTTAAACAAAGCCTAGTTATATCTTACAGGTACATGTTCACTCTAAACCTTTACACTCTATCTGTTCCTGGTACATATTGGGCAGTGTTCACTCCACAACTGTTTTCACAGCATGTTCACACTTAGACTCTTATCACATGATTAAATAAATCGGATAATTTATTTATTTCTACCTTGCGAACTGTGAACACATTAAGCTCTAATCTGTGAACATACCTATAAACAAAGTTTATGGATTAGTTAAATCTTTTGTGGTATTTTTTATGTGGAAAGAAAGCCTTGTGATATATTTGGATAAAACCAAGAATATTTACCCGTACATGTAACTGTACAGAAATAGAAAGATAAATCTATTTATACATGTAGTTTGCTTGGGTGGGGCTGACAAAATTATTTTTGAAAGTATAAGCCTGATTCTACAAACCATTATTCTATATCCACATTATATTATTGACTATAATGGATGTGAATTTAAGTTTAACTAAGGCAAATTCATCGCCTGTCTAACCCCATAGTAAGCATATAAAGACTCGTCATATTAGTTCAAAAAGGACACAAACACACACAAAGAATATGTTAAAAATTCATTCAAAGTAAATATTTGATATTCATGGTACAAAATTAGACGAATCTTTGCAACCTTTTCCCCCCCTTTGTAACGTTAAACTGTTCAAGTCTTTGCTTCTGTGAGCAATTTGATAAGCTGTTTATTCTGTACTGCTAGATTCAGACATGAAAATTAATCTTCAGACTATATCTACAATACAAGACCTAACACTAAGAGAGGTACTACGGTCGCTGCACAATTTATACCAAGACAAGCCTATGACCTTGTTTGATACGCTGCTTGCTTATTATATTAATGGCATGTGTAAGCCATTATTCAAGTGTAAAATATTGAATTATCATGGTTGAGTGAAATGAGCTTTAGTGAATAAGCGAGTCGTGAATTAGCACTAGAGAGGTTCGTCGATAGGTTGTCGGATAATTAGTGAAAATCAGCTTCATGATGATACATGTTGAATACAAGAAATAATAACGATAACAATGTAATACTAGGTTGCTAATTTAAAGTTAAAATGACCAGGAAGCTGTATTCAATAATGATAAGAGAACAATACATTGTATGCTACTGTACCAGATAGTATCAATGGAGTAATTGATTTTTGGAACTAGATCTAGCTTTATTGATAAATTTAATGAATATTCATGGTTTGCTTTATTGACTAATGAATGACGATCAGTAAGTGTCCCGTTCTTGAAATTTTACATTAGGAGTGTTCTTGTAATAGAAAATAGTGTCCAAGGTGTTGAAACTTTACATGAGAAGTGTTATTATATACCGATAATAGGAAATTTAAAGTGATTCTTCTCTTGTAGTTCGAAAGATAACATGGGCCAAGTACAATATCTTACAGGAGTGTCCGAGTTTAGTTAGGACACAGCGTAAAGTACATGATATTATAGGCTAACAATACCAGAATAGTGAATACATTTATAGTTGAATAGTGTATAGAGGGCACGAGTTAGACCACCCACATTATATTATATCAAGATATTTATAATATTTTATGTTGATACCCCTGTTGCTAGATTTCTTACACTTTAAAATAAATACAAGTACATACGTGTACGTGGGTACACTGTACTATATATAGTGCATTCTCTTGCTGACTTGTAGGGTAATGAGTTTTGAGGGTATTTTTTAAACCAGCAACACACACACTATATTGTAGAATAGTTTAGTAGATCTTAAAGAAGACAATGTTTTCAAAAGACTCATTCCATTTTCTATTGACAACATGTAATTTGAATACAGTTTGTACATCATTTGTCAAGATGATCATATCTAACATGTCTTATATTTAATACAAAGCTAAAAACTAATACTAGATCAACTGACAGTAATGGATGCCTTATTGTAATATTTTTTAAACCAATAATCTAAAGTTGCTGAATGAAACCTTTGTGCTTATTTAAGTTATTATATATTTTATAACACGATGATGAATCAAATGACATCGTGCAGAGTTAAGAGTTATATATGTATTGTTATAAAGACCTTGAAGAGAGATTTATATTGTATAAAGCTTAAAAAGAAATAAATTTATTTATTTAGAGAGTTAATAGGATTAATATAATTACTCTGTCATCACTACTCTTATTTAAATAGAATTGATTTGTTAAAAACACAAGGCCAGGGTTCTTTTCAGTTTTTTCAAGTTATGAATAATTCAACAATGAGAACAGCTGTATTATATCCAGTTGTCACAGAAAATGATATATGACCACTACATTTATTTTAAAAATATTATCCCTTATTGAATTTAAAATGGCAACCACTCTTGTGGATTACGTTGGATTTTATAGGTTGTTTTTGGTAAACAATTTGCCTTGATAAAAAATTTAATGCGCACATAAATAGCCATTGTTAGATGTAACCAATTGTGTCTTGATGTGGCATTGTTCTTATTAAATCAAGAATATATTTTTGGATGTAAATTTTTCTAGCATCAGGGTTGAAAATATGTGTATTGGTTAAAAGATTAAGTTACATGTACTTTTAAATATTATTCAATTTTTGTGCTATTATAGGTTATTACATGTTTTTAAGGAAATATCAGAAATGGGTATATAACCTATTACATGTATGTGATACAAATTTCCTTAAACATACATTATGCAAGAGCTAAATCTGCCTATTGCAGTTCTTTCTTTAGGCCTGAAATGTTATATAAACTATTAATTAGACATTTATTAACAAAACAAAACGGATACTAGCGAGATTTTAACTAGATTAGAACAGTTCGCCATTTAAAAATTTAATATACCATCTTGTCAATACAACAAACAGTGATAACTTGGCTCAGAATGAAGTAATTTGAATGAAATTTTGAATATTTTCATTTTACATTATCTATTTTTGAGCTATTATGACAAGAATGGTCAGTTCTTTATCTAAATTTTACATAATGTATCTTTAATGAATAGTAATGTTCCGTAACATATGATATTGTATGATGCTTAAAATGGTGGACTTCAAAGCATGGCTATATATATCTTGAATTTTTCAAAAAGATCCTTTCTAGTTTAAGTGGAGGAGAACCGCTCTACACGCAAAACAAATCAACTGAATTAAAGAGCATGGAAATAGTAACAATTTATTTTGAAAACTCTGTTTATACCCAGCCCTAATTTAGTAATTTATTTTTGGATTGCTGAAAGTTACATAACTTTATAGCAAATACACTGAAAAAATAAATAAATATGTATCATAAAGGTATTAATGATACAAATAGTACAAAATAAGTTAGAAAATGTATGTACAATTCTAGTATTCATTGTATATCAATGACCTGACAAACAAGGTTCTACAGGAGAGCATCGTGTCAAACTAACTGACAATCCCATTGGTTACATGTGGGTTAAATATGGATTTTACAATATTAATTAATTAAAATCAACTATGATGTATCTGTGATACGAAATTGATTTTCAAAAACAACTTTTTCGTCACCAGTGACGTCACATTTGTCATATGATAACATATTTATATTGATAATATTGTCAATAACATATGTGAGTGACAACAGATGATGAATACTGTAAATAGGATCGACTTCCTTATCTGGTGTTTTTTGTGTATTCTCCATATTCCTTTCACTGCTAAAGATTAGAATGTATTTTGCTCCAATTTTAATTATCGGAGAAACAGACCGCCTCCATATCAGTTGCAGGTTCTGCTTGAAATCAGCAGCCTGAAGTCACTGTAATTGGTTGAAATCAATGTTTTCCAAGACAAAATATTTCTTTCTTAGTTGTTGACACTACATTGTACAAAGAGCTAAATTTAGTTTTTCAATAATAATAATCAATGTTTAGAGAAAAGATTGTTAGACACATGTTTTTTCCTTATTGAGGAGTCGATTAAACATAAATAGACATAAATACATTGTTCAGAAGTTTTTCCTTGTCAATTAATGTCAATAAATGAATATGGTTATGGTTGTATTGATGAATAATATTTCATTGTATAATTTCATTTGACCTTCAGCTCTCTTGTTATTTGATATTATTTTAAATTATGGATGATCAAGGCTAAATATATCTGATGTTGGAGAATACTACCGGTGTAGACTGGAATAACTAGATGCCAAAGACTGTTATTCAATTCAGACTCTTTGCATATTTCGCCAAAGCTGATTAGAAATTGCAGTAAAAACAGAAATGAACGAATATAAATCAGTTTATATACATTCATATTACATTATTATATGTATATATGCATTGTGATCCATTTGTGTTCATTACTTTGACTTTAGGGGTGGGGATTGGATGGCCGAATGGTTAGCGCTGTATCATAAGGTCTGTCATTGTACGTGACCACGAGTAGGGTCGCCTGTCCCATCTCGTGGGATTTCTCCAGGTCTTCCGTTTACTCCCACTGCTAAAGACCTCTACGCGCAAGCGTATTGTTGAAATAAAATTGAACCAAATGTTAGTCCCGAAATGACCTAGTTTGTGTTGAGTGGACGTTAAACCCCATTTCTCTCTTTCCTGTTGAATTTGTTTTTTTTCAGATGCATAATATATTTTGTCATGAATGAATTATGATTTGATTCATGGTTTATACATGTAGTTTTTATTAGCTCTTTAACTGTTTTAATTTTGATTTTTTCAGATGTAAAATAACGTCAGTAAAATGTGGTTGTGGTAATAAAGATATATTTTGGTGTCAGCACGTTGTGGCCTTGTCTCTGTATCGTATTAGAAAAGCCAAGATTGTGGAATTACGGGTCCCTATATCAGGTAAGACATGTTGAAGTTTTTGTTTGTATCCGTGACAACCATGTTTAAAACTTGTATTGGTTAGAAGATAGAGTGATTTAGTGAGGGTTCAGGTTTAGATCCTGGTTGATCAAGAAAGTTATTCAGGATTTTCCAACCATTTTTTTCCCTCTTCAGTGAAGCAGAACCGGGGGTATGGCAAGGAACTGTGTCTAATTAGACAGATAGACAAAAAAACCTGGGTCTTGTGTTCTCATCGGTATGCTCATAAAGGGACCTTGAACAGTTGAAAAATTGTGGTGAAAAGTAGGTGGAAATGCCACTGCCTGGGCACAATTACCCTCAGTCATAGCACACTGTATGTCCTTCTACATTAGCTCCCATCTGCATTAGCCCAATCAGAGCAGAACAGTAGGACATTAAACCCCATTTCTTTTTATTTCTACATTAGCTTAGTTATTTCATTTTGTTTCATTTTGAGAAGATAAATGAAAGTATAAAACTGCCAATGAAAATGTTTCTTTCCATAATGAACCAAACATTCCATTTTGAAATCATAAATTCTTGGTGATTTCTTTGCACCATTCTGTTATTAAATACACAATACATGTACATATACATATATCTCTATGATATTAATAAAAAAATTTATTTATTATTTTTCAGAAACTTTATTACAAATGAATCGTGAACAGTTACAGAAATTTGCGCAGTATTTAATATCAGAACATCACACAGAGGTTCTTCCCACAGCTCAAACAATTGCTGATGAAATTCTTCAAGCAAAATCAGAGATTAATTTATTACCAGGTGAATTAGAAAAATTATTTAATCTTGTTCCCACTCATTAATTATATAAAATGATAAATTTATTATTAGATTGAGGGGGTGATGTGTGTGGAGGTTGTAAAAAAAACTAAATCTTCTTGAGTTTTTTTCTACAGCTTAATTATTGCAATGATTACTCCCGGAACACCTGGCCTCGAGTTAAGAATTCACTCAAAATTGTTCCCACTATTTTAACTAAAATATAGCCCTTTATAAAACTTTTGTTGTTTTAATGTATCAAATAAATCAATAAGAAACTAACTATGTGCAAAGATATTTCTCATAAACAGTGAATGAAAGTTATGTAAATTCTTAAATTCAATCTGAGAATGCTTTGTGAACTTGGGCCCTGAGTTGTAACAAACCATGCTAAAGTGTGATGCCAGAGTATAGTTTGAGCCTTTACAGAATTCCAGCCAGTTGATCAATTTTGTATGGCTCAGATTAACATGATATTTTTTCCAAAGAATGTGATAAATTTTAGCATTATTCAGATTTTTCACATAAAAACTATAATTTAAATTTAACTAATTTATTGTGTTCTTTGAAATTCTGATTTGTTGGCAGGTAAATTGACTTTAAAGTACTTGTAAGTTCTAAGCTTGATTAATTTCACTGCCTGTCAATCAAGACAAGAGTAAGACTAGGAGTCATTACATTAACTGAAATAAGAGCCATACTGTAAACACATCTATAAGTTAGACTTAGTAATCTATTGTAGATTGTAACTAGGTGACAATGGAGTATTAATTAATTCACATGTACAATTCAGAAGAAATGATTGTTTTGAAATAAAAAACATAAATTATTTCTTTGGAAATGTAAATATTCCTCTAGTAAGAGGATTACATTGTAAACTAATAGCTTACTTTTAATGCCTTTTTAAATAAAAAAAATAAATTATTTCTTTGGAAATGTAAATATTCATCCTGTAAGAGGATTACTTTGTAAACTAGAGACTTATATTATTGAAAACAGTTCGCATATTAAAATAATATTTAAACAAATGTTACTGGTGTTAGGTCACCTTGTTTTAGTTAATAAGCCTCATTAATTATTAAGTTTCATTTATCAGCATTCATGATGTAAGGCCTTGAGAGGGATTTATATTTTAGGAAATCTTTTTGTAATAGTTTTTTTTCTGTATTTTCTTTTTAAAATTTTTATTGAAGATGACTATTTTTAGTTTTAAAAACACAACTTCACTGATATCCAACAAAGGCAACCTGCGTAGTTTCTATATTGAGTGAAAACAATAGTTAAAGGATAAAATAATGATCTTTACGGTTTATCGATATTAAAATAGAAAACTTCATGTAGGTAATCCAGACAAAAATAGAATGATATTTAAAGTAACATTATTGTAGGAATATTGACCACATGTATCTATCTATGTAAACAATATGTAGGAAAAATAATGTTTTGTATGAGTAAGGCTGAAATTGAAACAACATTTTGCTGTTATTAGTCATAAATGAGAAGACCCAGTAGCCTCCCACTTCAATTTGCATAGCTCTCCAGTCATAATCTCAGTACCTTACAAAATGTCAGGCACTAATGAAATAGTACCTGACATTTTCAACTTAGTGCCGGACATGTATTAATAATATCAATAGAAAAGACAAATCAGTGCCGGACAAAATGACAGGCACCAGAGGTTTAGTGCCTGACAAAGCTTGAAACTGTGCCTGACATTGTCAGAGGCAGGTGCCTTATTTCCAGGCTTGGTCACCAATAAATGATTAAATAACTGAGTACTAACCCTAGCAGAACATCATTAGATTATTAGATTAAAAACATTTCAACCTCTTAGTATCAATGGTATGTTATGGATATCTACAAACCTATTGAATCTCTCAAACCATCACATTTCCCCACAACACCATTTGACATGATATTTCGAGAGATAAACAATTTGCATTATTCGAATATACTGTAATTGATTAATAGAATTTCTCAAGAATGATTGAAGGCCAATTTATGACGACAAATTTCGGACTTGCGTTTGTCATTGCTACTTTAACTGCATCTACGTAGTTTAAATCCTATAACTTTTACTGACATGAAATAATCCGTTCTTAATGTCATCGTCATAAATGTAAGAATAGGATTGTGGCAACAGTTGTTAAAGAAAGTCATGATTTATACCGGTTCATTAAATACATCACAAATAAAATAACATAGATTTATGAGATGTCAAAATGAATTGGAAGTTTATTGTACTTAGGTGTTGATAATAAGATAAATCATGTCTAGATAAGATTAATTGGGTTTGTTTTGGGTTTTTTTAATGAAAATTTAAAGTTTTGTTACATCATGTAGAATTATCCAGAATAAGACTGATAATGATAATAATAATTTGTATAGCGCTGAGTGCTCCAGCTAACAAGCTTTCCAGGTTGCATTTAATCAAAGACCGGTTTAATACATCTTACACGCAAAACATTTTCTATATTTGACAGAACACTGTAACAGTAAATTAATATTATAGAAACACTAAGAGAATTTATATAAAATAATAAATGTTTATTTGCAATTTAATACTGGGTGGATTCAGAGGCAAAATTATACTTATTTAAATTGAAATCTGACTTAAAGAAACTGATCTTCCAGATCAAACACTGGGCAGAGTTCAATAGACTGCTGTAGTATTGCATTATCTGGGTCTTAACACTGGGCAGGGTTCAGTAGATCATCTGTTGTATTGCATGATCTGGGTCTTAACACTGGGCAGGGTTCAATAGATCATCTGTTGTGTTGTATGATCTGGGTCTAACAATGTGAAGAGTCCATCTAAGTTCTTAAAACAGTAAAAGAATGATGGTGCTTTGTAAAACTTCACGTATAATGGTTTATATACATGTAGACCTAATAACTATAAGAAATGTGATTATATTATTAGGTGCCCCTGATCCAACGGCCGGAGCATCTGTAGATGATGATAATAGTTGGCATCTTGATGAAGAGCAGGTTCAGGAACAAGTTCGATCATTTTTATCTCAGGGAGTTTATCTACATGCCTCAAATCAACTTAATTCAATGTTTGCCAAGGTATGTTTTACTCCAATGATACAATTATTTTAATGAAAAACTGATTCATGAATCTATATTTGTACGACTTCATAATATAATTTCTATCGATATTCTGATCTAGATTCAGATTTAAAAAATCTTAAATATCCAAAAAAAGCCAAATTGTCTAATAACATTATATTTATTTATTTATAGGTGCGGGAAATGTTACGAGCAAGAGATTCTAATGGAGCGCGGATGTTAACGTTAATTACAGAACAGTTTCTAGCTGATCCTCGTTTATCTGTGTGGAAAACACAAGGAACATCTATGAGTGACAAATGTCGACAATTATGGGATGAATTAGGTGAGTGCTTACTTCATTGAACATGAGTCGACTGTAGTGCCACTGCTGGGCAAATTTTCGCTTATTGCACTCTGTGTAGTGTACTGCACATCTTCAGTAATCTGGTTAATGCAGAAAAGTAAGCCTTTAAATTCTATTTCATTTATTGATATTATTAATTGTAGGGGCACTATGGGTGTGTGTGGTATTAAATCCCAACAGTTCAACTCTAGAAAAACAACACTGGCATGTATTATTAGAACAGTGGTCTATGAATGGTTTATGTCCACTAGAAGATGCTGACAGTCGACAGATGCCTGATGTTCCCCTAACTCGAGATTTATTAATGGGTGATGGACATAGTAAGTTGTTTATAATTTCTCCACAATTTGTTATGGACATGATTAGGGAACTAAGAAAAATGATTCCTTTTTTAATGCATTAAGCTTTTTACTTTCTATTGACTATTCTCAACATTACTATTCTGATTCAGTAATTCAGAGGGTACGAGCCCCACAAAATCCATAATCATACAAGTTTTTATATTATCTTTAACAGACGTTTAGAAGTCGACGTATATAACAGTAATAAAAACATAAGTTTAAGGATTTATAACTTAGTTTTAATACTCTTGATATAAATACCTGTAAAATTATTTATCTTGTGACTAAGAAGTAGTTAATCCATCAAGTGGTATTTATTTATTTATATTCTGTAAGTTATTTCTAGAGAAAAATAAAACCGCTATTATTACATAAAATAACTAATTCTAGTGTCTGTAACTTGTACAGGTTAAAGATGTCTATTTTATAATTCACAGGTTCCTTCCAGCAAACACCTCGTCCTCGTCCAAGAACGGTCTTCCATAGATCACTAGAAGCTAGTCAATTAACATGGGATAATCAACATCTGCAGAATATCCTCAAATCATCTTATCCATCAGAAGATGATTCCGAACATTGCCAAGATTTATTTGATTCTAGTGGACTTCCATTATGGCATGGTAAGAAATAATGCGAGATTACTTTATCTGAAATGGAATAATGGTTTATTTTCAGCATATGGGTGTGGCCGCCAAGTTTTTTCATTTTTGGTTTTCATTGATGTTGTAGTGCAAGCAATAGATCTTTACTAAGTCATGAAAGAGTTTGAACAAAAGTCTTAAATCTGTCATTCCTATCTGTTTCCAGTTTTGTTTACATATATTTTATTTTATGCTAGATATTTCAAGAACCAGTAGACTTTATATGTTCAAATGTTTCCAAATACTATAGACCGGTGATTCTCAATCAGAGATCTTCCTAAGTATGCCGCAAAATTTTGAACGGCACACTAAGAAAATGTGAAAAACTATGTGATCCCAATTGGGTATTCACTGGCATCTACTGATAAGTTCATAGCTGTGTTTTCTTTATTTAGTTTGAGTCATTCTATGTGTCTATGACTAGTCTCTGTCTACGGTTGTATTCCGTCTGACTTACCATATTTTTATTTTGCAAAATTCAAATATTTTTCATATATATTTAGCCAGGTGAGCCACTATTTTTTCATGTGTTCCAAGGTGTGCCGTTGGCAAAAAAAGGTTGAAAACCACTGCTATAGACCATAGAAGATGGTGTGTTGAATGTTATAAAAAATACATAATAAATATTTCTGAGTATGGTACTGCTCAAGTTGTATTTACAGAAAGCTTTATCAGTTGCTGGGTGTAAGATATTAACAATATTTAAATCCTAATATGATGGTGGGAATTTATTTATATTTTCAGAGCATATTCCAACTGCTTGTGCACGTGTCGATGCATTAAAGTCACATGGTTATACAAGAGAAGCTTTACGATTGGCTGTTACAATTGTACGAACAATGCAAGCAGAACAGCTGATTAACTTAGAGAGAAACAAGACTCGATCAGGTAAAGAATATTGACTTAAGTTTTATGAGAAATATTGAATTATTCGAGAAAATATTGTCTAGGATTCCACTCAGACATGAAGTTTTGTAGACTTAGATCCTGTCTATTGATCATAATGTTTAATTGTGATGAACTCAAATGGTCGAATTATGTTGATTATTGAGTAGTTATTATTTCATCTTCAGAATTCTGTGTCGACTCATGAAAAACCAGATTTGGTTAACATCGTGCTTAAGGTGCACCTCTTTAGAATTAAAAATGATTTGTAAAAAAAGTTTGTCAAACGTATGGAATAGTATGGTAGTAAGATAAACTGAATAACGGTCATAGTGCATGATGGAACCAATATCACCTTGTAAATGCCAGTATAATAATCTGAAATGAGTATTATTTTTAAATTGTCTATCTATGTATAGCTGTTATGTTTATTTTTAGGGAGTTCAAGGTCCTGTAGCTCTCGCACATCAAGGTCACCACCACCATCTAATGCTGAAGGTTGGGTAGGACATCCATTAGATCCTGTAGGTGTTTTATTTGATACGTTGATTGAAGCTTGTACATCTCCAAGTGACGACAATAGAATAGGTTAGTATCTACCATTGTTAGCTTGGTGTGCGGTACTCCATTCACAAACAGGGGGTTGGATGGCCGAATGGTTAGCACGTGCACGAATGGTTAGCATGTGCACACTGTATCATAAGGTCTGTCATTGAGTCAACTGATGGGGTTTCGATTCCCTGGTTGTACATGACAAGGAGTAGGGTCGTCTGTCCCACCTCATGAGTTTTCTCTGGGTCCTCCGGTTTCCTCCCACTGCTAAAGACCCCTACGCGCAAGCGAATTATTGAAATAAAATTGAACCCGAAATGCCCTAGTTTGTGTGAGTGAAGTTTAAACCCCATCTCTCTCTCTCTCTCTCTTTCTCTCCATTCACAAACTCTATTATCAATCAAGTTTGATGGCAGACCGTAGAATTATTAGTCGCAAGTTACATATTGATAATGTTGGAATCCTACCAAAATGGATGGCACTGTGTAAAATTTCACCTTTGACCTATTACGTAAATTTCAGGAGATCCTTTGTTGAAACAATTAGTTTTGGCGAATATAATAATCATTTTCATTGGAGGATTTATTTTTATCATCCAATCAGCATTTATTTAAGAAATAAATACAATAAATAAAGGTTATTGAGCTTGTGAAATACGGCCCGAATGTCGGTGTCGTAGTTGGTTACCGGCTAATCAGAGGGTCACAATACTGGGCTGTCGGATGCCAGGGATTAATGTAATATTAAAAACCATCTATAAGATATGGTTTTACGAGCGTAAATGTGATATTTGTGACTTGGTGCTCTAGTCCTTTTCATTTAGAAATGTATGAATTGATGTAACTTATAATTTAATACATCAAATTTTTATCAATTTTTCGGTCATTATGATATTAAAGGATTGTTTTATATTTTTGTAGATTGGGGAGTGCGGAACAGTAATTCAAACAGCACTAATAATAATGGAGAATCTTCTAGCCAATCATCATCCAGATATCATCATGGTCCGTTACCAGGCAACATGGATAATAATGAATCTTACCTCACTCTCGCCATGGAAGTTGGTCTGATTGGTAAGTTATAACATGAAAGATATATGCATGGAGATTTGTTTAACCTAATAAAAAGAAAGTATTTATGCAAAATTGACATTTTTCTGAATGTCAGTTCCCAGGTAGAGGCCAGTTTTCAGCTCTTTAATATTTTGTAAAAACTTTGTACAGTTGAGAAGCGTGTATTCCAAGGTTAATTTTATCTTACTAAATCAAGTTAATTACTTCTTGGTTCCTGTTCTTCACTGAATCTTAATTTTCAAACTTGTCTTGTTGATCCAGACACTAAATAGTTTCCCACAATTCAAAAGTCTTGTTTAACAAGTCTCTGATGGGAAATTGTGGTCTGACCAGTTTATTGGTGTGTTTTTCCACGGATGTACAAGACAACATAACAGCTTTGTCTTGTTTAACAAGACCTACAATAACAAGAATAATGACCTTCTGGTTTACACATTGACCCCGTCTGACATGAATTGTGACTTGTTAAACAGGACTATCAATTGTTGGAATTGACAAATGTGATGAGAGTCTGGTTGAACTTGTCAAGCATGTCATGTCTACCTGTATTCATTAACCCAAAAGGTGCAGAGAGGTTGGACATATTTCATGTCATGTGGTATATTGCTACAAACCAGTTAAGTTTAAAGACACCTATTATGTAGCCTGAATTCTTTGCACAACAAGTTTGACAGACTCTTTATATTTAACTGACACTAAAGATCTTTTAAACTTTTACTTAATAAGAAAATACATTATCTTCCATTGAAGTAGCAATATATTGTTATCAATTGGCTCAGTGGGTAGGATGTTGGCTCCCATGTTTGATCACTGCATTTCCAAGAAAGTTCATCAGGATTTCCCGGCATTGATCCCCCTTGTCAGTGATTTAGAACGGAGGGCCTTGCCAGGAACAACGTAGAGTCAATCGGATGTGACAAAAAAAAAACCCCTGAGATCCGCTGTACACATTAGCGATTGCGTAAAAGAACCCTTGACAGTTGAAATTCGAAATAAGAGTAGGCGGGAAAACTTTCCCTCCTCTTGTATGCCTGTTTTCATCAGCCCAGTAGGAGCAGAACAGTAGGACGTTAAACCCTGTTTCATTTCCATGCATCTTATAATGGTGGGTGATTGAGTAGAGTCAAAGCTACTGCAGTTATACAATAGACCACATTTTATATTGTATGTATTATTTTTCAGGTCTCGGTCAACAAAGAATCATGCCTCCAGGTCTTTATGCTCAGGAAAAATCTTGTAAACAAGAAGAAAAATTATTGTCAAAAATACAGAATATATCACCTGATCCTCGCATTCTGGCCGTTATAACGAAACAAGCTAATTTATTACTGGAAGGTATGTACACATATTGATATTCATTTAGAAATTAAGTTTGGGACAATGAGTAGAATTTTAGTTCTCAGATAATGGGCTATGAATTAGTATGTTAACAAAATGTTCTTACGTTAAACTTGGTTGGTTGGTTGGATGGGATGAATGTTTAAGGGAGTTAACTCCCCTTTTCCCAAGTTGGAAAATATTTGCCATGATAGACGGTGCAACAAGTAGACTAATAGAGACAAATAAGGCACATTTTCATGAACATTCAGTGGCACCCCATCAATCTGTTATTGTGTAAAGGTGAACTATGTTTTCTATCACTATTATCCCGCAACTTGTGCTATTTTAAAAAGATAAAACAGCCTGTGGTTGTTATAGAATTTTAATGAATATATAATATGTATATATATATATATATAAGTGCAAAAAGAACAATTTAGTTAGACAGATAAAGTTTTAGAATTAGAGTGCTGAGAAAGAAGTTTTTTGTAACATATTTTATGTTTTATGTAGGTGGACCTCAGAGTGGATTTGGTTCTGGTATACATCATGAGAGTTATCCTATGCATACGTTTGCTAGATACCTATTTACAACCTTGCTAGTCCATGATACAGATTTAGCCTTTAAAATAGGTACACGAGCTATGAGGTAAGGTAGAAAAGAATTTTATGTTTCTTATTTTTTTTTCTCTTGTTTTAACAGCTATGAATAAAGCTGTTTTTTGTACACCCACATATTGTTGTTACATGCGTCTGGCCATAATTTCTTGTGAGCACTTTATAGGTCAGAGTTCTGCAGGAATTAAATTGAATTGGTAATAATGAAAAACACTATCAAAATACAGATCAGAGAGTTATCTGCCTTTTTACATTCAAACTTTGATTGGAAAGTAATACAGGACAGAGTAATTACAGAGTTCTTGATGAAATATTTCGAAATAGAAACTTGTTATTGTTGATTCAGTTTGATTGTATGCTGATGGGAACAGTTTTGTTTGCATCTTTTTATTTTGGCAGTCTTTGGCCAGTTTAGATATAAAAAGTCAGGAACCTGTAAGCATCTTTCCTACTTGTTTTCTTTTAAGGCTACCAGTTTTAGAGAATACAGAAGAGCTAAACAATGACGAGGGTGCTAATAATATTGGATCAGCCATCTTGAGTCGGTTTCCACGTTGGTTTGTCTTGAGTCGTGTTGAATCACAACAGTGTGAATTGGCTTCAACTTTACTAGCTGCTGCAAAAGGTAGGAAATTTAATCTTTCGTTATAAAAAAAAACCAAACCTGAATATACCAATAAATATACTGGGATGTTAAATTTTCATAATTGTTATAGACATTTAGAAGATAGAAAGGAAGTTAAGAATTTGATATTTCATCACATAGTTCATCATTTGGGTGACTCATTGAGTATGACATCAAGCTCCTTGAATAGATCCTATTGTTGGCGGAGGAAGTTTCCAGCCCGGATTCCCCTTATCAGTAGTGAAGGACTGGCTGACGGGAGCACCTGGCACAGGAAAGCATCTATTAATTCGGATGGGGTAAAAATCACGGTTCCATTTACCCCCCATAACACAAAGAATGGGGCTCTGTTGATAAGCTGAGGCAGATGTTAGTGTCAAAAGACAAAATATGTCAAATGTTAACAATATTGTTAGAAATGGTGAAATACTATAATTAAATACATGATTGTATATTACAGGTGATATAACAAGATTACGGAAAGTTTTAGAATGTGCTCAGAGACATATTCATAGTTCTTCACAGTTGTTTAAACTAGCTCAGGATGCTTTTAAAATAGCCACACCTTCTGATGGTCCAAAACATCAAGCTACTCTTGATGTCGCATTCGAACTTGGGTTACAGGTCATGAGAATGACCTTGATGACCTTGAACTGGCGACGACGGGAGATGGTAAGGTGGTTAGTTACATGTGCTACAGAAGTTGGAGTGAAAGCCCTTATCTCGATCATTCAGAATTGGTATCAATATTTTGCTCCGATAGAAGCTACTAGTAAGTATCAGTTTCTTTATTTTTATTACGTAAACAGAATTCTTGAGAAATTAAAATAGTTGGACAAAATGATTGCCATTGTTAAAAATTTTTTAAGCAAGTTGACTATGTTTAGAACAACTATGTGGTTTCTAGCAAGCTTATTCAAGTTGCTGTTACGAATGGCTGATTATGATCATGAAGGGTTGATTCTGATCATGAACAACTGATTATCATCATGAACATCGATTCTGATCATGAATGGCTAATTGTGATCATGAAGGGTTGATTCTGGTAACAAATCAACTGTCCACAAGAAGAGAACATGAGCAACGATAAGACCCTGTATGGTGCTAGCACCGGGCGAAAAATTTCAGATAAAGCAAGACTGCTAAATTAAAAAAATCATTCACATAATAGTAACAAGGCAAGTTTTATGTATTTAACTGGGTCAGTGACAATACCGGTGGCCATATTTACCCGAATATTACCTTTGTCATCTGAAATCTGTGTAATGCCCTCTGGATGGTACATGTATGCTTGCATGTTTTAGAACACCCGATATCACCTCTCATTGATCGGGTCACTCTTAGACTTTTTATTGTACATTTCTATTCTTTGTTATATGAAAGATGACTGAAAACCTGATTGAGCCGTGGGTGTTGTAATATGGTAAAATCACTTGTACATCGCTGTATTTTTTCTATGTTTTGTTGAGCAGTTATCCTACATTGTCATTAGATAAATATAACCAATAAATGTACCTCTGTATTTTTCAGGTACGGTAGCATCTACAATCATGTCACCAGCCACTACAATGCAACTGAACCTGACCTACCATCAGATGGAGGAAGTAGCCGATTGTGCGCGAAAACTAGCTCTACAGTGTGCAACCAAAGATCCTCAAAACTGTGCTTTATGTTCTCTTACTCTGTGTGAAAAGGACACAATGGCGTTCGAGACAGCTTACCAAATAGTCATAGATGCTGCGGCTCACGTCATGAATTCCAGTCAGTTATTTACTATCGCAAGATACATGGAACATCGTGGATATCCCAGCAGAGCGTACACACTTGCGTTATTAGCCATGAAAAATTTACAATTGGCCTACAATCAAGACACACATCCTGCAATCAATGATATCCACTGGGCGTGTGCTTTAAGTCATTCTCTAGGAAAAAATGAACTATCGCGTATGATTCCGTTATTGGTGGAAAATGTGCAGTGTGCTACTGTTTTGTCAGACATTTTACGACGTTGTACGCTGACGGCACCGGGGTTGGCAAGCCATGACGGCAAACGACGCGTTATTAAATTATTGTCATATGACAAACAACCTCTACGCCAGCTAATGGACGCCACTATGTATGCTTACATCAACACCACACATTCCAAATTAACACATATTAGTCCGCGACATTATGGAGATTTTATCGAGTTTCTGAGTAAAGCGAGGGAAACGTTTTTATTAGCACAAGATGGACATATTCAATTTGCTCAGCTGATAGAAAACATGAAATTAGTTTATAAAGGAAAAAAGAAACTGATGTACCTTATTAAGGAGCGGTTTGGTTTGTGAAACTTTTTACAGCATTAATAAATCGATGGACACCAATATAAAAAAGAACAATGATAATTTATGAATAATTTTAAATGTTACAGGGACCATTTTATTATGAAGAGAATTTTTGTCTCAGTGCTATTATTAAAAAAAACTTGCATCGTATGAACTTTTGTGTCAAATTTGAATGCAATAAATTTATTAAGTGTTATTATGTATGAATATTATATTATTATTATTATTTTTTTGTTATGGGCGTTTTGTAAAAAGAACGAACCTGTATTATTTCATTATTTAGTGTGGCATGAAAGATTTTTTGTTAGTGTTTTTTTTTTTTTGTCCGTTGTTTATTTTTGAATTTGTTTGAATTGAGAATCAGTTCATCATGTTAATGTTGTGTATGATAATATTGTAAGGTTATACACGGACATCTGTTTTAGTAAATGTTGTTAAAGGTTCATCAGAAATTATCACTATATTAATGTTATTGTCAAACAGTATTTGAGATAATTAGCAAACACTATTATATCTCACATTGACAGGACATTTACCCCGCCTTGTTCATTATACGTGGTTAAAATACAGATGTGACATCACCCTTTGATGTTGGCATACCATTATTTCAAAAAATCGTACGAGCAACTTGCCAATCATACATTATTTATACTAATGAAATATTGGACTCGCGTGACGTATTTCACTGTTAAAGCACGTGCGGAGTGTCTGTATTAAGACATTGCGTAATATATTTTAAAAACACTTGGGCCGTAGGCCCTCTTGTTGTTACAATATATTACTTAATGTCTTGCTCTCGACCATTAAACAATACATATAGCATAGCTTTAGCATTAGAGACAATATCTTAACTCCGAGATGGGGCTCTCGCACTGTTGACATGTATATGTTTACCCAACATATTTTTCAAAACTATTTAGTCTAGTTTCCATATTGAATTAATTTCACCTGCCATTTAGTTCAGCACATGCATATATTGATAAATTTAGAGCCTTACTTAAGTTTACAAATAATTTTACTTGTTAAGAAGAAATTAAATGCTTTAAGTACTCCAATCATCAAGGTGTCAAATGTATCTGTCAGTGTTACCATACCAGAAATTTATTTAAATCAAGAATTAGTCCCTACTGTAGAAGTATTAATTCACCTTACACTCATCAATAAATATTGTCTTCTAAATATTCAAACTCTAACATTTTCACGATTTTAAGAAATACAGGATAAATATGAAATCTAAGTTAGACATTTTCTGTGGGAAATTGATCATTTAATATTTTAGAATTATATGAATAAATAATTATAGATTTAGTATCTTGAAATGTGTAACCTCATTCCCAAATAGATTATTGTTGAATATGTTCCATTTGTTTATATCTATGACACATGGGGGTGGGGGGTATCCGAATGGTTAACAAGTGCGTGTTGCATCATTTGGTCTGTCATTGAGTCAAGTGGCATGGATTCGACTCGCTGCTTGCACGTGACGAGGAATAGGATCGCCTGTCCAACCTTGTGAGTTTTCTCTGGGTCCTCCCGTTTCCTTCCACTGCTAAAGACGTGCATGCAAATTAATGAAATAAAATTGAACTATATGTTAGTCCCGAAATGACCTAGTTTGTGTGGAGTGGAGCTTATCCTCTCTCTCTCTCTCTCTCTCTCTCACACACATTTTCCTCAATCTTACTGGCTGGCTTTTAGGAATTTCTTATATCAATATTGGATAATGTTTTATACTAATATCATGCTTATTGTCTGGCTCTTTATGTTAAAGTCTTAGTTAATCTGAATTTTGACTAAAGTATGATATACAAGGTTAAAGTCTTAGTTAATCTGAATTTTGACTAAAGTATGATATACAAGGTTAAAGTATTGAGTAACCTGAACTTTGACTAAAGTATGATATACAAGGTTAAAGTCTTGGTTAATCTGAAATTTGACTCAAGTATGATATACAAGGTCTGGATGAAAACGGAACTTTAACTGTTCTTTAAAATAATAGCTGTTCTGTGAAGAATACGAACAAGATTACCTCTAAAACTACCGGCCATGGATTACAGTCTAGCACATATAAAAATGTGGCTTCAGTGATAGTGTTGCATAGACTCATTATGTTACTAAAATTTATAAATACATTTATTAGGTGGTTAAAATCAAGTCATAATTTAATATTATTTATATACACACTATCTACCTTATCATCCTCGATAATTTATTGTATCTCGTTAGACCCTTCTACTCTGTGTGCATTTTATTTTTTATGGCAGTTGTTAAACTGATTGATTGGTTGGTTCTCGTTTTCAGACCCCATGGGAGTATCAGCTTAAACCCTCATAAAAAAATCCCTTTAAATATGATCGCAAGCCTTAAGTGTTATCTGGCGAGATACAATGGTTTAGCAAGAATAGGTTTTATAATGTAGTTATAACTTCCTATAATTAGAGCAATAACAAGCCCTTTATATCTCAGGTTTATATAGCTATTATATATTATACAAATAAACACTAGCATTAGCACTTTCACCTGGATAATAATTCAAAATAAAATACATCATTTATCTCAAATCTTATAGTAAGGCACAAGGGGAATATTTAAGCTCCTTGGAATTTTAAAACTTCTATAACTCATGAATGGATTGACCAATTTCTCTTGACTTTTGCATACCATCTAATTTGAACATCTATGAGTTTATGATAGATTTTTACCGGCTTATAATGATTTTGTACTCTTTGAAGGGAGTCTTGTGTTTTTCTACTCTTTCATGAAACACATGTATAACAACATTCATAAAGTATGCATCTTGGAATTCAATCTTAGAATCATTTTAAGATCTCCAAATAACAACAGTAATTAAATTATTTTGAAAAAAAAAATTGTGGTATTTTCCTTGAAATTATCTTTCATGTGCTACAAAGTGATATTAAAAGAATTGCCAATGTTTAAAGAATAAAGGTTAATGATGAAACTTGCTTATTTTGAATTTATTATATGAACCTGTTATGTAATAGAAATTAAAATGCTTTGAACTTAAAAACATATTATCTATGAACCTGGTGTGTAATTATGAATTAAAATATTTTGAACTAGGAAATCTTAAATGATATAAAATGCAACTAGAATTCTGGTGAATATCTAACCTCACATTATAATTTATTAGATTTGTTCACCCTCTATTTTTGTTCTTATTTCCATTGCAGCAAATTTTGAGACATGCAAAATTAATAATAAATTTTTGAAATATGAATGAACATAGTATTATATATCCATTTATGTATGTATTTATTTATCCTAATCGGGGGAAAGTCGTTCTGTTTCTCTATGGTTTTCATGTACATGTACCCTACAGACTAATGCGCTTTTATTTGTATATCTTCACTGTGTCAAGTGTTCTTTGTCCTACAAAATATTCATCATTGATTGTACTGAGTTGTCTGCCCATAAGTTATGAATTGACACCTAGCAACTATAATAAGATTTATCATACTATCATGTGCTCATTGCTGATATCATTCCAATCATAATAAGCTCTAATTTGTTGTTAGGAAATTGTTGTTGTGACTAGTAAATAGGAAATGCGGAAGGATGAAAAGATCATATGCAAGATAATAGGCCTATTTGTAGTATTTTCATGATAATTTCTTGTAGTTCAAATGAACACTAAAGATTGAGATGAGCACGGAAAACCACTTGAGTTAACTTCACTGTGACATATGGTTAACAGTTCAATACATTTGTTCACTTGATCAATCAATAGTTTTAAAACTCGAGTAAAACTTATTGTCATGGCCTGTGGAACATATGTAGAGTACAAGTAGCCACAGATATTTGTGTGGGGTCGGAGGTGTTAGATGGCCTAATGGTTAGTGCCTGCGCACTGTATCATAAGGTCGGTCATTGAGTCAACTGGCATGGTTTTGATTTCCCGGTTGTACAAGAAATAGGGTTGCAGTCCAACCTCGTGGGTTTTCTCCAGGTTCCCGATTCCTCCCACTGCTAAAGACCCCTACGCACAAGTGAATTATTGAAATAAAATTGAACCATATGTTAGTCCCAAAATAACCTGATTTGTGTTGAGTGGACGTTAAACCCCATTTCTCTCTCTCTCTCTCGTTTGGATTCTGAGACTAAAACAAGACTAGTTTTAGCTGAGTGTAGTATATCAACTAATGTAGGCTATTTGTACATGAACTTTATAATTGTATTGTTTGTTTTTCTCAATTTGCCTCTGATTTTAACATTTTTTTGTGTGATTTTTTTTGTTGAAACTGAATTCTCTAAATTAATCTTCCTTGTGCACATTCTACCTCAATGTCTTTTACATGATGCATAATCTCTTTTCTTTAATAAAGTCTCTTTCAGTTTATAGTTTTAACTGTCTAGGCCATTCAGTTTTAGCAATCAAAATAAACCAGTCTTCTCAACTCAAATCTTTATCTGTAATTTTCGCTATGTTTCCATATCATTTAGAGAAAGATGGAACATCTTCAATTTGGCTTGATAATTATGGGGGCTGTAATATGTCCCTTCTATTCTAATAGTGTATTTTTTACAAATATTCTTTCATGTGAGAAAATTAAAATTGTAAGAGCACTTGTCAAGTTTTGATTGCCAAACCTAACGACTGAGACAGAAAAATTTGGTCTCACAAGGCAGCATTAAGAAATGCTAAGGGAATTTATTCCGTCATGGCCAAATTGTGACCTGATTTTCAGGGATTTAGACATTTAAAAAAAAACAATCTGAAGCATATATTTGTTCATTATAGTTTGATTCATCCAGACCCATAATATTTAGCCAGGTCTGTCGGACAAATATGTTTTATATATGAACTTCAATGGTTATGCATATGTAAGCAATAAATTGGGTATATTCTAATATGACTGAACCTGTTTGAGACCGTTGTTTTCAAGATTATATCTTCTAATAAATGTTTTGTTATATTATTATATGTTATATTTATTGGGAATATGTCGGATTTAACAACAAATTTCTTCATTTGATATATAAAAGGATATTATGAAAAATAAAACTGAAAAATTTATATCTTAAAGATAAAGTTTCATCAATATGTGGTCTATTTTATAGTTGAATTAAGCATCTTAGACATTTTACATTAAACCCCCTGGACCTCTTCTTTATTACTTAATATTATTTTTCAATCTATATTATGATCTCTCCTTACCCTCCCTCACTAAAACAAACCCCTTAGCATTCCTACCCCCAGTATCTTATTAAATGCCCATAACTTTTTTCTAGTAATAGGTTTTGTTCAAAATTCCTCTCCTCACTGTAAGTCTTCTAAGTGTTGAATGTCCCTAAGTATCCATTGTGTCTATCTTTTCCCCTTTCTTTTCATAAATTAATTTACAACAATCCCCACATTCATAACCTGTATAAATCATTAGATTATAGAAAACTTTGTAATTTATGAATAATTACTGGATTGTTTCACAATATTAATAATTATTTATATAATACAGTAAGACCTCACAACTAAGGCCATAATAACTATGGTCCTAAGAGCAAGGCTTAGTTAAAAAAATTGTATGGATATGATGGTGTATTTAATGATATATGGTAAAGAAAAAAGATTTTTACCATTTGTGTGACGTGAATGTTGTGGTATGTGCTTTGATCTATTTTGTAAAAAGAGAACGATTATCAATGCCAATGAATAAATATTATGAAAACTAAATGTATGTGTGATGTATTAATTAAAGAACTATCAATGTACAGTTTGAGCGAATGATTCAAAGAGATTATTTCACTGTTATATGTTTGATATCATGAAATGTCTGTCTGTCTGCCTGTCTGTATAGAGCATAAATAAAAAATGTGACATATTCTGATATATGTGTTAACTTGTACTGTTTATTTTTTTAAAGTGTTAAAATCACCTGTCATCTATGAAATGTGGGAGTTGGATCTGTGTTACTTTGTGGGGTTTATTTTTTTGTTGTCTGTTTCTTTCCACTACTAAATAGCCAGTTTTTCTTCCCATCCAAACGACCAAACACTTCTCCCTGTTGGGCCCTCTATCGACAATAACTCAATTATCAGAGATTGTTGTAATTGAAATTCATGACAATAATTCAAACAAAGAACACCAGATGATGACTTGTGCTGTTAAGCTGTTCATGAGTCTCTACAAATTTAATGTAATACTATAGAGGTCACCAAGTCTTATTGAGGTGGATACCTTCATAATGCTACCTGGTTAAACTTGGAATGCTAATTTTATCTATTGCTATACTATACATAAAGCCATGTTCCTGAAGTAACGACTGCGAGTTCTACAGCATCTAGACGTTGCTATATGCCTTGGAATTCCCGAACTACGTTATCTCTCTTTACCGCAGACACAGGGGAGGGTTGAGGGGGGCAAATGCCCGGGGGCGGTAAATTATCCCAGAAATATTCAAGGGGGGTCATGGGGTCTGATATAACAAATCACCGGCCTTCCCCTAAACTTGTGTAAACTGATCATATACTCTTCCCAAAAAGTAGGGGAAATTCAGAAACAATACAAAACTGCGCAAATGCACTGCTGTTTTTATTAGAGGTAACCAGTGTATGTTAATAACAGGCCAATTGCCTACACATGAACATAAACAGTTCATATGGGCGGCTTATCTGACGGCTCCATTTAACTGGCAAAGAGATACACTCTCAAAAGTGAAAATGGACGTTTTTGTTTTTTGTCTTAATAATGAGTAATTGCTCCACCAATCCTCAGACATTCAGCAATTCGTCGTGGCATGCTCCTAATCAACCGTCCAGTCACGATTTGGGGCAATCTGACCCACTCCTCTTGCAGTGCCACGGCCAATTCTTGCAGTGTTGTCGGTTGACGTTGACGTCGACGAACACGTCTCCCGATCAAATTAAACGTAACACACTAAAGCAAAGCTACGCTAAACAGTAAATCTTATAGAAGAACCGACAGGAAAGCAAACATGGATAGGATAAACCAGCAAGCGGCAGTTTTCATCAACCCTTCCTTGAGTGTCAAATTTTGACAATGAACCCCTCCCACGTGTATGGCGCTATTGCGTGTCGCACATGCAGCTCAGTGATTCTGTTGGGACAATAAGTTCTTCATCTGTGAACATACTATCAAAGCATGTCAAGTGTCCATGACTACTTATCATATCACAACCTGCATAGGTATTTGCATTTCAATATCCCCTACTTTTGTTTTGAAGAGTATATTTCAGCAAATATAGAGTGTAGAATTACTGAGCATAGTGAGGCACTTGTTTTAGTAAATATTTATTTAGATAAAGTGTTCATTGTATAATCAAATACAATATTCACAACAAAGCAATTACAGTACGCAGGGGGGGGGGGGGTACTGAAATTTTTGCCGTGGGACGTCACATAGGCATGTGAGAGCTCTGCAGAGACGTGAACAGTAGCGTCCAATCAGAGGTTGTGACAAAAACACACTCAAATCAAGCATGGCGACCTCCACGGAAACCTTGACATTGAACGAAACTTGAACATTGCAACTCGATTATCACAGGCGGACATTTTAGCTGAAAAGTGGGTGACTTGGTGTCCGCGATGACCGAGGAATCTGATAGGTTCTCAAGCTGAGTCAGTACCCAAACGAAATTAGTGCCGAATTATGCGGGGTATTACGTGAAGGGATTGATAAGATGTACTGAGTTAAAGTGAGATCAAGCCTTCTATTGAAGATCACATAGAGCTAGAATAATGTAATTGTTTAAGACAGCACCTTCGTGTGTTTGTGGGATTGGACAGCTAGATTTTGGCTATTTAGGTACCCTGCAGAATGTCTGGTGATCCAAATAATATAGTAGTTGTTCTTGGTATCCAGCATCAGTAACAAAAGGACCCTTTCACTGCTGAGCCTTTTCTTTGAAAAGTGACCGCCCATCAATTGTCACATATCGCGATACTTGTATTAAAAACATGGGTTGATAAAAAATAATACACTTTATTTCTTTTTATTAGGGAGGTGTGGAGGCAAAGGCGCAATCTGTTTCACAGAGATCTTCTAATTGTAGCGGCCTAGCGAAAATTCACTGCTGACCAGTGTGGCAAAGGCGTGAAAGGTTCTCGCCGTAGACAAAACATAATGAAGAAATACTGTCCGCGCATTGCAATTGTTTAAATTTGCAATATTAATTATGTAAACATCATGTAGTAATACTATATTGTTAATGAAATAAAATGAAAAACCACACTGCCCTTAAAAGCGATTCATCAATATAATTTACATATTTTAGCAGTTTCAATCGCTCGCCAGATGTTTTTACCGTTATGAAATACCAGCTACATATGGGTATTTACAACTGGGGGTTCATTTATTCCTATATCTGAAAATAGAGAAATGCAATGATTTCTTTTTTATTCATACGCATTGTGTTTTACATTTGGCACGATATGCATTTGAAATATTTTACATTAAGCCCAAATATTTCCTGGGTTTTTTTTCCGAATACTATCTCTTCAAGAGTTTCAAATACATGAATACACTTAATGAATCGAACTATTACTTGAAGTTTAACATAAAGAAACAAAATATTTCTCCAACGTCGATGCATATAGTGTTAAAGATGCATTATAAAAGATTTATAAAAAGAGCTGGTCGTTTTTGCAATAATAGTTCAAAAGTAGATTATATAAAATGAATATAGTGAACATTTCAGCCAAATTACTTTATTATGATGGAAGTTATGAATTTGAAGTTTAAAAGATGTAGCGTAAATTGTTTATTATCGTAGCAACGGTACTAGACAATCTAGACTAATTTTTAAATCTCATGGGTGTTCTAACTGATTTAAATCTCGGTCATCCGATACATGCTTGCCATGTGAATTAATGTCTAAATAATAGTTTATATAACATTTGAAGCCAAAATAAAGACCTGCAATAGGCAGGCAGATTAAGCTCTTGCATAATGCATCTTTAAAGACCTAGTGCGATTGTCGAAATTATTATGGGATTTTCCCATTCAATGGAATATCAATTTTTGGTATTAATAAAGCAACTCAGAGTTTCTAACTAACGACAATTAGCCGTTTGTTTGTAAAATAAATATCAATATAAACCCAATGAATAAATAGGAAGTTTAAATGGCTGCTAAGCTCTGAAAGAAAGCATCAAATATGCGTAACACCAAGTCTCCATAAGCGAGGTCAAACTGTGGTGTACACACGTGGAAGCCAGCTAGATGCAGATGTCTGGTATATGTATTCTAATAATATGGGATTAGGTATCCCTCAATATACAACTTACTAAAGAGTTGGTGAGTACCGGTTTTAGGCAATTCTGCAAGCAGGATGATGAAATGTTAGTCTGTTAGTTGATTGGTTCTAATCACAGATGCTGTTATTACACTAGGGGTTTGATTTTGGGTTTTAGAAATGGTTAAATTGTTATGGTGTTATATTTAAAATGGAACTAGAGTAGAAATTTTATATTCATACAATACGGATCTCATCAAGAATCTGGAAGTCCCCAACCTTCTCACGTTATTGTCATTAGGTCTTCTCTACGGGCATTGCGCCAAATAGAAATTGCGTTCAGGAATGATTAAGTCGCTCTGAGCAAATCCGTATTTGTATTGGTGCAGCTGGTATCATGAAATGCTGGTTTCATACCCGTAGAGGTTCTAATAACCCGTAGTAAGTGATGTTATACGAACACTTAACATCCATTTCCGGAATTGTCAATATTTCGATTGCCGTGGGAGAAACTTCAGATCCCATTCGAAATAATTTGGTATTTTCCAGATGCTGTTATAGTGTTCGTTTTTTGGAACTGATATGAAAGAAACCCTTATTTTCCTTTTTGTTAAAACCAGTCGTCTGCTTACTCTACTACTTTATAAGAAGATTCAGAGCAGATAGATCTCTTACTTTAATAACACAAATGTACCGAATTTCACTGCAACGCACAATGATGAATAGTCGGAACTGATGCAATTTTATTACAGCAAAATTCGCATGAGACCGCGTACACATATGAAATACAGGTTTCAAATGTATCCGGGCCATTTTGAAACAATACAATGAGCTAAATCTATTTGTTAAGGCCAGCTCAATTTTTATCAAGGTCGCTGAGATGTAAATAAGGTTCGGACATGTGATTGTTGGCGAGATTGTAGGTTATAAAGGGTAAGCATTGGGGCTAGGTCCAGGGTTAAGGTTAGAGTTGGGATTAACGCTAGCCCTGTTTAATTTAGTGACCTATGACGGAAAATTGAGCTGGCCTTATCATTTAGCACTAACCAAATACACAGGCCAGAATCTGATTTGAGGTAACGGACTCGTTGTGACTGACAATCCTTAAAATCACGTTGTCTACCCGCAAAATGATCTTAACTACTTGACATAAAAAAAGTCTTTATTAATCTCAAATGTTAAGTAATAAAAGCAGGACAACATTTAGTTTGAAATGATTTTAGTCTTCTGACATATAAACTATAGATTCTATTCTATATATTATGTAAGCCGGATATGACATAAAGCGGGATAAATGAAACGGTGGGTGTTTAGATCGTCAATGGTATTAAAGGTTGAAGAGGAACAGTGTTAGTTGTGGATTGGTCTTCATCATCTGCAACTACAAGATTAGTACAATATTAGGGATGTAAGTTTATCACTATAGAGAACAAAAACTGTATTCAAACTGAAATGCATATATATATATATATATCCAGTCTCCGTATCAAACTAAAGCAAAAACATGTCATGCGAATATGTCCGCATATAATTTGTATTTGGTCATCAGTTGATCAATATGGAGATTTGCGAACCCAGTAAATAATGATACTTGATCTGTTACTATTGTATAGCAATTTGAAATGACGTACACCTCAACCTCGGTGGAAGTACACATTAAAAATAAAGCTATTTCCCACACAAACAAGATTGGGCGGAATAAAAAAATACAACCCCGGAACGAAATAGGCTACTGTAAAACATCGATTTTAAAAAGGAAGGCAAAAGCTACTCCGATGTTATTTATGAATACGTAAACCAAACGATTTTTAAGTTTAATGATTTTTTCATTGGTCCACAGCTTGCATTTTAACTCCATATAAGAATGGGTATAAGAATATGGGATAATAATAATAATAATAATAATAATAATAACGATGATTACTGTAGATGAAAGACAATGCTAGGTGGAACGTTAATTTGGAATTATTTGTTTCTAAGAAATTAAAAGCAAAGCAGAACATTAATTATTATTTTATGCTTTAGCTTATAAAAGCCGAAAAGAAAGCATTGTATTGCAATTTCAGAATGATACATACCAATTTCTTTTTCTTTATAAACTTCATCATTTTCATTAGGCCAATGGAGGCCAACACATAACTGATATACAACAGAGCCTACAATAGCTCCAAAATGAGATCCAAATACAGGCACCCAGAACCAATTATAATCCCGAAAACTGCAACACAAATATATAATTACCTTTATTTATGTATCAGCATTATCATCCTTTGATGAATTTATTACTCATACAATATTACTTAAAGACCCAATACCACTCTTGTTGTAACTGAATAATATGTCCCAATCTTTATTCTGGTCAACAAATTGTACTATTTTACAATATTCCAATTAATTGATGATACAAATTTCATCTTAACACACCTAATTTAAAAAATTGGAAAAATTCAACTAAATGATTTGAAAAGCCTGACGTAAAGCTTTTCAAATGTGACTTGGATTTAAAAATATTTTTGAACCCTTTTGACAAGTAAAAAAGGATTTAATGGATAATTTACACCACAGGTAGGACTCTAACACATCTAGTACTTAGAATAAGGCTATTTTTTTAATTTTCTGGAGCTGTCAAGCCAGCAAGAGTGTTATTGTCCCTTTAACAGTAAATTAAACTCAAATATATAATTGTCTAACTCATTTTAGGAATAAATAGACAAATATTTGTTGTAAAAAAACAACAACTTCAAACAGACTTCATGATAATAATCTTTAGCTGGGGAAATGTAGTTGATTCGCTGTCTTTGCGTCAACATTTCATACATTTTTTTCCCTGGTAAGAGATAGAGAGGTGCGGGGTGGTGGTAGTAAGAATTGTCCACAAATTTTATATACAACCATAGGTAAGGCGGGTTAAGTTTTATCTTAGTAAAGTTAGTCAGGTTTCAATGCAGGTGTAAAGAAATCTGTTTACTGGAAACATATAATAATCGAATGTGTACCTGAAGGGTTCTGCTCCCCAGCCGGCAACCGCAGTAAATATTCTTGGAGCGAGATCACGAGCAGGATTTATGGCATAACCACAGTTATATCCAAAGGTCATACCGATAGCTACGACCACTAATCCTATACTGATTGGTGCTAGACCGGTAGGTGTCTTCATATTTCTGTCATCTGTGATGGCTAATACACATATTAATAATAGTGCTGTTCCAAATATCTAAAATTAATAAATTAATAAATAATTTTGTGAGATACCTGCAAGGAAAACGTCTAGTCGTTCGGATGGAACGAAAAGTCGAGTTCCCGAGTGCTCACCTGATCACCAAAACCATTGAGAGTTGAAAGGTGCGCTTGAGGATAAGTTGACCAAATACCCGCTGTGGCTGTTGACCCCTGAGTCTCCCTCACACCTCCATCAAAATTATTAAGAGCATCTGAAAATAATTAATTGAGTATAAGTATGTATTGTTATTCTAGAGAAAGTTTGGTTCTTTATAATGACGCAGGGCAGAGGGTCTGGCAAGGGAGAACGTATAATCGTTGGGATGGGACAAACAACCGATGTCTCATGTACACATTGGCGTGCACGTAAAATATTCCTTGGCATTAAGACTTCGATATAATAGTAGGCCGTAACACCTATGTCCGTGCAAAATGTCCCTCATAGCATAGCACATGTTGTTATGTATGCCCGTCATCGTTCGCCCAGGAGAATAGTACTTTAAACCCCATTTCATTTCATTCATTTCGTCTATTTTTAAATCCAAATCAAACGTTGTGATAAAAATAATAACGAACTGTTTTGCATGTTTGTACACTTTCAGCATTGTGCCAGTTTTTTTACAATATATTCCCAGTTGTATCTTTCTTAAGTACTCGGTGCCATTATTACCATGCCACTTTGACCTGTGCTAATCATTGCCGTCCGAGCACCACCTACGTCACTTGGTGCTAGTAACCAAAGCCGACCTAGGGCATGCACTTAAAATATGCAATGGATATAGTGTCAACCTTAGTATAAATCCACAAATCGTTCAAATTTGGGGAAAATTTGGAATTAACAGCAAAGTCAATGGACAAATTAATGGTGGTTTGCACCCAAATGTTTTAAAATAGAGTAGCCTCCCCTACGTTCAATCTGAAGCTTAAAATTACATTTGGTGCTAGTAACAAAAGCCGACCTTAAAATATGAAAAGGATATAATGTCAAGCTTAGTATAAATCCTCAAATCGTTCAAAGTTGAAGAAAAGTTGGAGCCGGGCAGAGAGACCAGAATTAACATTAAAGTCAATGGACAAATTAATGGCGGTCTGCCACCAAACGTTTTAAAATAGAGTAGTCCCCCCTCAGTTAAATTTGAAGCTTAAAATGACATCACCCGAACCCTTTTCTAGACATTTTAAAGAAAATAATAACAAATTAAAATATTTAAAAAGTACATTAAAAAATAAATTTACTATTTTTGATATAAGATGTACACCAAAATGGCCACCGTACGCAATTTCGGATAAGAGAATGTAAAGATCTGAAAATACAGTATATATACGTATATATAGGCGATTTTAAATGACAGAAAAAAGCGTTTCGTTCCGTTCAAAAATTCCTGCAAATACTGGTATTTGTTTGTACAACTATTCTACGCAAGAGGGTGGGAACCGGAAGGGGGTGCTGTGGGGTGCTGTGGGGGGGGGGGGGGGTAATTTGAATCTTACCCACCCGCCCTTCTATGCTTTAATCACATTCTTTAAATATAACAATATTTCTTGCGAATGGATTTTGATAAAACATGGAATGTACACGCACAATAGAACACTATCCGATTAAATTTAATTGACCTAATGCAATCTGATTGGTCGAGGATTTGAAACGATGTCGTTTGACTCTCAGTAAATGGATATCGATTAAGCTTTGAAGATACTCAATTATTACAGTGGAAAAAGAATTGAAATGGGCTTTCATGTCCTACTGTTCTGCCCGACTGGGCCAAGAAGACGTGCATACGCCAAACAGTGTGCTATGGCCTACCCTTATATACGACTATACGTTGTCTCTTGTCAGTCGTACACCACAGACAAGGGAAAACCACGCCGGAAAATCCAGATGAACTTTCCTGGTCAACACAGGGATCACTGAGCCACCGTGGCTTCCCAGTCGAAACCGAACAACGTGTGACTTGATTGATTCTTTTAAAAGAAATAACAATAATTCTATTGCGCTACTTCAACAACAGAAGTGCTTTACAATATGATACATCCAAAGATAGGATAAAATACAAAAATAGAAATGACAAAAATTAAGATCTGTTAAATATAAAATAAATTTGATCTAAAATATGTATAACAACAGAAATAGAAATGACAAAAGTTAAAATCTGTTAAAAATAAAAAAATTAAAATAGATTTGATCTGAAATATATATAACAACAGATAACTTCAGGAGCTAGTTAAAAGCTTTCTTAAACAGAAAAGTTTACGTTAACTCTCAAAAACGGGTAAGGACACGCTGCTGCGAATAATATAAAGAAGTTTATTGCATAGCTTAGGTGAAGCAACTGAAAAGGCTTATAAACATAGATATAAACATATGATATTCCTCGTGTCTCTGATGATCACTTACCTGTGTATACAAAAAACACCGTTACTGAGGCTACAAACGATCCTAAATATTGACCTAACATATAAACAGGCACTTTTCTCCACGGACATTTCCTTAAAATAGCCGTAGCTAATGTAACAGCTGGGTTTAAATGTCCACCTGTAATTATAAATAAATCATCAGTCTACAATAACAACAATACTATATGTATTATAAAATCAAGAAATTAAAAATGAGGACGTATATTGTCGTTATCTCCGCCCGTAGAACGTCAGAGCTCTTGTGGGTCATAATTGCAGTTGTCCAAATAGGAAGAAAGTGATCGAAATTTACGAATGTTGCGATTGAAAATTTCAGAGTTATCTCCCCATTTACGTCCGGACTTAAGGAGTTTTCGGAACAGAGTTCTTGATAGATATTTTATAAACTCGGTGAAATGTTCATGTATAAGCAGGAATCCTGTCGAATATTCAGATAGTTTAATTTCAGAGAGTTTTTTGGGGAGTTATCCTTCCGTTTTCATTTTCGTTTCGTCTCGGTAAATTTCTATCGATTTCATTTCGTACTTTACAGGTACCCGCTCAAGCAAGGGTTCAGAATTCGACCTTAACAGGATTGGCTTTTCTGGTAATTTTGTACTGAATGGACGATAACTGACCTGATATACCACCAGCAACATAAACCCCCATTGTGACGCCAATACCCCAACTCCAGTATATAGTGGACGGGGAACCAGCTTTACCGCCACTTAATACAAGTTGAGCTACAGAACCTTCTCCAAAACACTGAAAATACACAAAAACACACACATATATACTATTCAAAAAAAGTAGGGGATATTTGATTTGGGGGGCATAATACTAAAATATGCAAATGACTACGAAAAAAGTCACTATAGAACCTAACAGAAGAAACATTTCCAGTTACATGTGACGCCCAAACGCACCAATAGCTACCGCATGGAATGCAGGTGATGCTTGGGATCATCATGGGGGTCCAACCCAAGATTTGCACGACTCTGACTTTGAATGTTACAGTCATTGTGGCATTGAATTCCAGGGTGGAAACATCAGTTTAATTGTTTTAGTGACCAGAAAACAAATTTTGATATGCGTCGGCTTACCCAAAATGAAAGGTTACGTGCCCTTGGCATGCTACAGATCGGCACAACACAGGCGGTTGTGGCGCGGACGATGAATGTTTCTCAGTCTGTCATAAGCAGGCTATGGTCCAGATACCGTGATACACAATCTGTACAGGACAGACCACGCTCAGGTCGACCAAGGGCGACAACTCAAGCCCAGGATCGATTTATCCGTACCTTGGCCTTGAGAAATCGTGTCATCACAGCAAATCAGATCAGCGCTCGTCTTCAAACAGACACTGGTGTGAGAGTGAGTGGCCAGACGATTCGGAATCGACTGCATAGGGGTCACCTTCGCGCCCGACGTCCTCGCGTGATCCCTTGTTTGAGAGATCATCACATTCAGGCAAGACGTCGTTGGTGTAGGGATCGTCAACACTGGGATAATCGACGCTGGAGCAATGTGATGTTTTCAGATGAGTCAAGGTTCACTGTTTATTTTTTGGACAGACGTAGGAGGGTGTGGCGTCGTCGAAACGAGCGCTTCCAAGACGTTAACATCATCAGACATGATCGATTTGGGGGTGGTTCTGTTATGGTGTGGGGAGGCATCACTGTTGCTGGAAGAACGGCTTTACATGTTGTTGCAGGGCGTGTTACAGACCAGTACTACTGGGACAACATCTTGGCAGTCCATGTTGTGCCGTTCGCACGACGTCATGGCCGCCGTTTCATATTCCAGGATGACAACGCAAGATGTCACAGGGCCAGGATCGTTACAGGTTACCTCCAACAACAGAACATCACCACATTACCTTGGCCAGCACTGAGTCCCGACCTCTCCCCCATCGAGCATGTCTGGGACATGCTTGGACAGAGGTTACGTCAACGTCAACAACGTCCTGCCAATGTCCAAGAACTTGCTGCTGCGTTGCAACAGGAATGGGACAATCTGGACCAAAATGACCTTAGACGTCTCATTAGGAGTATGCCACGTCGGATCAATGCTTGTTTGGCAAACAGAGGAGGATTTACCCGTTACTGACTTGGTTGTGATGCTGTGGTAACTTTGCTGTTTGACCCCGGGTATCATTTTACCCTTATAATGGTCAGTCTGTGCCTTACTTAGTCTAACGATCATTGGAATAAATCGATGAATGTGAACTTCATTTCATTTTGTCATTTGTTTCTTCGTCAGTTTCATTAGGTGACTTTAATAACACTTAAAAATTAAATATCCCCTACTTTTTTTGAATAGTATATATATATATATATATATCGTGTGAAGAAAACATTGAAAATACACAAAAATATATATATATTTCGCGATAAAAAACATTGGAAATACACAAATATATATACATGTATATATGTATCGCGCGAAAAAAACCCATTGAAAATACAAAAAAAAAAATAAAATATCGCGAGGAAAAAAAATTGAAAATACACAAAAAAATACATATATCTCGACGAAAAAACATTGAAAATACACAAAAATATACATATATCGCGTGGAAAAAAAAGTCTCAAAATTGAAATTTCTAGTTCAAAACGTTTACGCTTCAGTTAAAATACATTGTGAATTCTGATTCATTCTATTATATTATTATGACATTTTGTAAAATATAGCAATCTACACTGTAAAAAATATCCATTTTTGATGTGGCCGAATTCCGTAGTTTAACACCTTTTTTCTGTTAATCGAAGGATTTTTTGGTAAAATTGTGTTAAAAGCATGAATTATTTCTTCAAATTACGTGTTTTATATATTTCTGTGGAATATTCAGTATTTAACAGGAACTTTCCGTGAAATTTAGGGATAAAATGTTTTATTCCCTTCTATAATGGACTTAATCCTGTTATTTTACGGAATAAACGGTGGAATGACAAGGAAGTTCCGTGAAATTTAGGGATAAAATGTTTTATTCCGTTCTGTAATGGACTTAATTCTGTTATTTTATGGGATAAGCGGTACAACGATAAGTAATCATATACATATATAATCATTTATATAATGATCATGTTATAGTATTCATTTCAATGGATTAACCATAATATGAAGAATCATATTTTGTAACGTTTGGTATATTAATTGAAATGTATATCTAATTTCCATTATTTATAAGATCTATAAAGTGTATTGTTATTCATCATACGGAAATCAAATTGTAAGTTTTTTCATAAATATGTAAAAATATGTTTTAATGCCTCGTGTGGTAAGGTTGTAATATCTGGTAATCAAGCAGGCTTAAATTCAGATAGTACAACCCGTTGGCCAGTGTAAGTCAGGTTGTCTCTATAGCAGAGTCTACCACTGAGAGCCTCCAACCAGTGGCGGGTTGTGATACCTTGCTCTCGATTCATAAATTTGCGAAAAGAGGTTATGTTTAAAGATTATCTGCGATATCACTTCGGTGGAAGCGGACGTTAGATAAAGCTATTTGACGCACGGGTATAAAGTCAATGGTTAATTCAATGAAATTTTTATCATCTTCATGCTCAGGAAAGAAAATTTACCAGGATTTTTTTTTCTGAATTTGAAAATGGAATTTATGTTAATTGAAGGAATTTCTGTAAATTACAGGAAAAACAAATACGGATAAAATTTTCCTGGTAATTTTTGTTTCCGGAATTTTTTACGTTTTTTCACGGAAATTTTTGTTACAGTGTATCATTTCATTAATTTTTTCTCCATGAACGGTTTCAGTCAATTATTAATGAAGGCGTTCATAGATAGTAGTAAGAGATGAACTAGCTCTTTCAGGTAATTGTATTGTCAGGCATCATTAGTTTTTAAATGATGATTAATTTATACAGACCAGAGTCAGGCATGGTGAGCATGTTTTAAATCGTTCAAGCTTAAATGTATTTATCAAACTGATACCATCATAATATGTCTAATTTTAACCCAACTCATTAATTCTTAATATTGTAGCATCCCATACGTAACTAATGCTCGAAAACTGAATAGCTAGATACTTCTCCGCAGGTTGCGTGATTCTTGTGATCAGAATGGTATAGCCTCTTTTAAACAGGAAAGGTAATTCTGCTATCAGTAAGTTACAACTTCCGCTCATTAAATATATATTTGTCTTTAAAACTGTGAGGAAACCAGGTTATCTAGTAAGAAGCAGAGTTATGCTGACGGCTCTTTTTGCGTGAGGAATAAGATCCTGTTGAGGTCATTTGATCGGGGGGGGGGGGGGAAGAAAACTCAAATCTATGACGCAAAGTGCGTCATTGCATCAACTTACTTAGCCCCTCTTAGGAAGGCGCCCATACTCATTGTTAAAGATACATTATGTAAGAGCTTATTCTGCCTATTGTATGTCTTTATTTTGGTTTCAGATGTTATGTAAATTATTTTAGGCATTATAATCAACTCTCTAGACAACCGGCTGACAGAGATTTAAATACATTAAGACGCCCGCGAGATATAACAATTTAACAAATGGACAAACGGGACTAAGTATCGATTGTCCAGCTCCGTTGTCACGATAATAAAAACCTGCGCTACGTCTTACAATACCCATAACGTCGGCCAGAATAAAGTAATTGAATCGACAATATCTCGGTTCAGAGTGAAGCAATTTGACTGAATTTTTCTGCATATTCTGTTGTCATTATCTATTTTTTTTAATTATAAAAGCGAGAACTGTTATCTTACCCCTATAAGTACATCCCCGTTATCACAATGGTAACGGGCCTCGAGCTCTAAAGAGCAGGTGTTGGACAGCATACGAAAAGAAATGAGGGAAATTTTGCCCGGGGAGCGGCACTATCGCCTACTCTTATATCGAATTCCAACTGCCAAGGGATCTTTTTACGTGCATTCCAATATATACACGGGACCTCGGTTTTTCGTATCACCCGAAGGACTAGACAGCTGTCCTTGTCAGGTCCTCCATTCTGCACCACTGACAAGGGGAAACCACGTCGGAAAATCCTGATGAACTTTCTCGGCCAATGCAGGGATCGAACACCCGACCTCCAGGCTAGCGATCCAACGTCTTAACCACCTAGCCACCGTGGCTCCTGGACAGCATGCGGTCTTGCTAACTCATTTTATGAACCAAATATTGTCGTATAAGGCGGAATTCTGTTGCTGGACACGTCTTCGAATACGAGATAGTGGAATACGGTTACTTGAAAAACTTGAAACCCTCATTCGATCTAATAAGATGTTACCCGCACTTCCCTGTCTGGATATAATGTCATCTCTGATCATCGACTTCCGTAATGCCGAGATTTGGAACAGTGCTGGAGGATATAAAATCTACTGAAAATTGACAGTTAATGGAAATCACGCCATTTGACTCGAACATAAAAAGAGTAAAAAGATACAATTTATCAGTATTGATCTGTCTTGTGTTAACAAACCAATTTAGAATTTTTAACAGTTTGACGACTTTTTTTATATTCCATAGTAACCTACATTCAATGTGAAGAAAACTTTCAAGACCTGTCGCATTAGTTCAATTACTTCCTTCTTGTAAATCGTTGTTTTGATTTTCATTTTGTGTCAAGTCATTACAGGCCCTGGACTCTACACCGCTGAGGGCGCTTACAGCTGGCCTTGGGATCTATTTACTTGTTTTGATATTTGCTATTTATTTCTGGCAATGTCTGTGTAGTTTGTATTAAACAAACACAGGTTTACCCGCACTTAACTATAATAGTTGTTGAGTATATTTAGACTTT